TTGCCGCCGCGCGCGGTGCGCCGAGTTACCGCCTAATGGCCTGTCCGTCACGCTGCTAAGCAGAACCGGGGGAAAAAAAGCAAGTCAAGCGACGTGTTAACCCGGTTCCAAGCACCCTTCTCATGACAACCGCCGCACCCCCTCCACTCGCAGAGGAACCAGTGGGCACAAGGCCCTGGTGTACGGACGGGCGGCGTGTGCGATTTTGGATGATTTTTTTTTCTTCGTTTGGTTTTCTGCTCCCAAGAGCGCGGGCAAAGCGAATTCGATCAGTCAACGTACGGGAGGGCAGAGGTGTTGGGCGTGCGTGATGTACATATCACCGTTTGTTGATAGTAGTAGTGTGATGACCGCATTGATTCGAATAATTTTCAAGCTCGCGCTGCATGCGTAGAATGGCTCTTGTAAGAATAGTTTTTTCCCATTTTCTATATAAAGATAATAATGATAACATTTATGTGGGGATTAAATGCCGTCGCAACTCAAAGTGCCTAATATCACATCTCATCTCAACCATGCAAAGCGGGACCCTCGGTGGCAGCTGTCCCTATGCAGCACAAAATGGTTCAGCGAGCATTAGTCTGCCAGTAGGTGTCGTTAATGCCTGTGGGTAATCCAACTTGAGAAATTTTTCAGCATTTGGATATTTGGCCAATTCCGGTTACATTATATCGCTTTTTTTTAAATAGCTTTTTGAGGACACCGAAGAGCTGAGAACCAAGTGGAAACCAATGCAGAATATGGCAAAAGCATACAAACTCCACACAAGGGTGCCCGAGTCAGGAATTTAACCGAGGTGCTTCTTGCAGGGAGGCGCAAGTGTTACTACTGCATCATTCTGCCGCCCTAAATTTGAATTGGGAATTTCCATCTCGACGCGGTTAAACACTTCAATAGGAGTTACCGCAATTCATCGTGCCGCTCGTTTGCATTGCGTGGGAGTAAACAGAATAGATGTACTGTATATATGTAAATCCTGGTCCGTTTGTAGAAAGGGCCAGGTTGGACTTTCCATAAGGTTCGCATGAGACGTGACGGTTTCAGATTACATGAATTTCATGTAAAGTTATTCATCATGAAATTCAGATTTGGACGGCCATGTGGGTGTGCAGCCGTTTATCTCTGTGTAAATTTCTCCTGTAACCGTGGGGGCCATTAGACTTTAGAATGCAAAAAAAAATAAAAAGGACATTAGTGAAGATAATGTAGGTTGTGCCTCACTGAAATACTATCCCAGATTCCCCTTTGATACATGCATGTATAATTATTACAAATAGGTGTTAGTGAACGGAAACTTTTTTAAAAATGTGTTTGGAGGGGTTCTGTGGAACAGTGGTTTGCTCACTGCGCCTAATATGGAAACCCGAGTTGGATTCCCAGCTACAGCTAACATCAGTGACGAGTGACATCTAAACCAGTCCTGGGCCCTCACCATCACCTCCTGACACTGATCGTTGAGGTGAAGTTTGGTCAAACAAACCCCCATGACCAGCACAGTGTTTGGAGGCCTTCATACACTCGTGGCTTTACAATGGGCTCTGATTATTATTCAATTTTTTATGTATTGTGTGGCTAAAAACTCGTTAAGCAATCTTATTAGCAAGCAATTAAAACAGACTGAAATTTAAAATTTGAATCGAGGGAAAATAACTTTTTTTAAAGTAAATACATCACAATAATGTGGACCTACAGTGAGGAGAAAAAAGTATTTGATCCCCTGCTGATTTTGTACGTTTGCCCACTGACAAAGAAATGATCAGTCTATAATTTAAATGGTAGGTTTATTTGAACAGTGAGAGACAGAATAACAACAAGAAAATCCAGAAAAACGCATGTCAAATATGTTATAAATTGATTTGCATTTTAATGAGGGAAATAAGTATTTGACCCCCTCTCAATCAGAAAGATTTCTGGCTCCCAGGTGTCTTTTATACAGGTTACGAGCTAAGATAAGGAGCACACTCTTAAAGGGAGTGCTCCTAATCTCAGCTTGTTACCTGTATAAAAGACACCTGTCCACAGAAGCAATCAATCAATCAGATTCCAAACTCTCCACTATGGCCAAGACCAAAGAGCTCTCCAAGGATGGCAGGGACAAGATTGTAGACCTACACAAGGCTGGAATGGGCTACAAGACCATTGCCAAGCAGCTTGGTGAGAAGGTGACAACAGTTGGTGCGATTATTCGCAAATGGAAGAAACACAAAAGAACTGTCAATCTCCCTCGGCCTGGGGCTCCATGCAAGATCTTACCTCGTGGAGTTGCAATGATCATGAGAGCGGTGAGGAATCAGCCCAGAACTACACGGGAGGATCTTGTCAATGATCTCAAGGCAGCTGGGACCATAGTCACCAAGAAAACAATTGGTAACACACTACGCCGTGAAGGACTGAAATCCTGCAGCGCCCGCACGATCCCCCTGCTCAAGAAAGCACATTTCCATGCCCGTCTGAAGTTTGCCAATGAACATCTGAATGATTCAGAGGACAACTGGGTGAAAATGTGGTCAGATGAGACCAAAATGCAGCTCTTTGGCATCAACGCAACTCGCCGTGTTTGGAGGAGGAGGAATGCTGCCTATGACCCCAAGAACACCATCCCCACCGTCAAACATGGAGGTGGAAACTTTATGCTTTGGGGGTGTTTTTCTGCTAAGGGGACAGGACAACTTCACCGCATCAAAGGGACAATGGACGTGGCCATGTACCGTCAAATCTTGAGTGAGAACCTCCTTCCCTCAGCCAGGGCATTGAAAATGGGTCGTGGATGGGTATTCCAGCATGACAATGACCCAAAACACACAGCCAAGGCAACAAAGGAGTGGCTCAAGAAGAAGCACATTAAGGTCCTGGAGTGGCTTAGCCAGTCTCCAGACCTTAATCCCATAGAAAATCTGTGGAGGGAGCTGAAGGTTCGAGTTGCCAAACGTCAGCCTCGAAATCTTAATGACTTGGAGAAGATCTGCAAAGAGGAGTGGGACAAAATCCCTCCTGAGATGTGTGCAAACCTGGTGGCCAACTACAAGAAACGTCTGACCTCTGTGATTGCCAACAAGGGTTTTGCCACCAAGTACTAAGTCATGTTTTGCAGAGGGGTCAAATACTTATTTCCCTCATTAAAATGCAAATCAATTTATAACATTTTTGACATGCGTTTTTCTGGATTTTTTTGTTGTTATTCTGTCTCTCACTGTTCAAATAAACCTACCATTAAAATTATAGACTGATCATTCCTTTGTCAGTGGGCAAAGTACAAAATCAGCAGGGGATCAAATACTTTTTTCCCTCACTGTAGATAAATTATTGGAAGGCAGACTGGGATCAAAATCATGAAATAAGAAGTGCTTTTTATAAAAACTTAACTCAATAATGAAGAGTAACTTGCCAACGTAGCGAGAGAAGAAAGTTGTACACCTTGCCTAGACATTGACCATTAAAATGTAACAAAATCTGAATTTATGTGTGTAGAGATGCATGGATTTGTGGCTGAATGAGGAGCACATAAATTGGAGAACAAATGCAATTGAGACATCATATTGAAGGTTAGGAAGAGTGAATGAGCCGGGGCAGGACACGTCGCTCAAGGGGATGATGGTTGATGGACGAGACTGGTGCTGGAATGGCAGCCGTGAGAGATTACATGCCCGAGAGGACATGCAACACGGAGATGGAGTGATGAGATTAACTAATGTGCAGGAGCGAGATGGATTGTGGCGTTGTGGGACCGTGAAGGATGGTGACGATGGGGGGAGGAAGAGGTCTTGGTCTGGCAGTCGATTGATGATGGCTGTTGATGATGATGTTTATAAGAAAGATGAACACTCACATGGTGCGTTTTGCACTTCGTTACGATCCCTACTACTCGAGTTCAATTCCTGGCCGAATGTCCTCGGCAATACCATTTAACATTTCCAAAACCTCCCAGGCTATGGTAATCATACGTAGCTTATTTTTCCTTATTTCTTATTCACTTCGATCTAAATGCATGCATTTGTAATCATACGAAGGATATTTTTAAGTAGGGTACATTTGCAAGGACTTATACATGTATTTCTAGCTTGAATATTATCATGAAATGGCATTAGAATATCCAAGTTAACTGGAAACCAGGTAAGTGTCTCTACTGCGCGATTAAAGTCGTCCCTCTCCATCACCATCGCTCGTCCTGTGTCGTCACTATCTAATTCACTCCTCGTCTCAGCGCTCCATCCCCGCAGCGATTGTCCTCTCGTGTACATTCTCGCCACTGGTTGCCATTCTATCGCCGGTCTTTTTCAATCAGCCATCGCCTTCCATCGACATATCCTTCCCAGGCCCGGCGACTTTCCTCGACTCAACCATGGATGTCCCAGGTTTTAATTTATTCCCTAATCGGTGTGCTGCTATTGTTGTCGCTCAGTGTAATTCTAATAACGCATCCTCCCATGCTTCTTTTCAGTCAAATAAAAAACAGCAGACCGTTGTCACCGTTGTGAATGGGTAAAGAGAGCTGCTGCATCATATATATTTTTTTCGTAATGTTTTTCGAACCGGTGCCTCCTTTGTGAACAAGCTGTGGCGTTCGAGCAAAACTTGCGAGCAGGCACAACGTTGCGAGATCACCGTGCCGGAATAAACGTTTTTGTGCTGCAGTGCGCGGGAGAGATTGGCGTGCGTCCCGTGACCTTTGCGTTTGATACGCAGGTGCAGTAGCACTTTCCTGCCCACTGAGCTCTCGGTTGAGCCTTTGCAAAATTCTGCTCGCAATTCGACTTGCCCTTTTTCGGCGCTGTAACGAAAATAGATCGAAGGAGTGCGTTTGGTTTTTTTGCAGCGAGTCGGGCCTAACGTTCCACTTAGGTTGTCTGGGAAAGGAAATTGATTGAGAAAAATAGTTGTGATATCAAGGAATAAATGCTGTTGTGGAAGAATTGAGTTGTATCTTATTTTGCACAAGTGAATTCTTTGTTTGTCTGTCTCCCCCTCTCTGTCTTTGATCGTTTTATGTTTGGGTTTTCTAGGCGGCCCCAGAAGGTGTGTCTCTGTCCCTTCTTGCCGGCTCACCCACTGGAGGTTTCCACGCGTCTCTATATTGTACAGCATCCAGCCGAGGCAAGTTACATGTCACCCAGTCACCCTGGCACACAGCAGCCCACACACCAGTGTGTGTGTACATAGGATCACACGCCAATCCACAAACCATCTCACGCACTCACCTACAGATAACACGCCAGCCCACACACACAAGCTGACACATAACTCAACATACCTTTACACCAGCCCACACCAATCCACTTACCATCCCATACATTAACCCACATGCATGCCCACACAGCAGCCAAGGTAAATTCCACCCAGTCACAAACCAGCCCACAAACCAGCGCATGTTTGTATGTATGTTGGACTTCTTTCGCACCGTAAATAGCCAACAGCACTAATTGGAGGTGCGAGGTTTGCCCACCAATCCTTTGAAGGCCCACATGGCACACGAGGCGTGGGTTACCAGAACCATGCCCGGTCGCCTTCATCTTGCTCATGGCGATGTTTATTATACACCACATCAAGTACTCATTTGAGGCTGAGTCGACCTAGGGGAGGCTTAGGACTGGTTCAGATAAATCATCAATCGTGTCGGCTATTAATGGGACTCGAACTCGGGTCACCAATCCACACACACCTGCTCCACACACCAGCCCACACAAGCCTCCAATTGTTATCGGACAGCTCTGGACACAGCATAGGCATGTGTGCACAAGGAAAGGTGAATTTGTTTTGGGGGTGGCGCCACGGTGGCGAGATGTTAACTACCTCATCTAGTGTATCAGAGGTCTTGGGTTAGTGCCCAACCCTGACGCCTGCATATTTGTAGTTTTCATGTTCTCCCCGTGGTCGTGTGGAATTTTCTCCGGATCCTCCGGTTTTTCCCTCCACATTCATAAGCATACATTTGGAGTATTTGACTGCTATAAATTTCTGCATAATAAGCCACTTCGTTGAGTTATCATTTGTGGCCAGGTTGCTTCTGAGAAAGAGCTACATAGCTTAGTGGGCCTTACGCGGTAAAATAGTTTTACGATAGTTCCTGTAAACACTCTCCAGCACACCGCCACTTGCTGGCAGAGTGGCAGCACTTCGCCAACATACTGGGTACAACGGCACAGCCGACACATCGGAGAGCAAACTTGTGGTTTAAAGACGGGGCGCCTCGTCCATAACTCATTTAGTCGACTACAAATAAAAACAACCACTTTTTTTGTGGTCGATTACTCTGGTCTCTTTAAAAATGGCCGCCGCCACGACATTCTGCCTTCCCCGAAAGGGGGAAATCCACCCACACGCCACGCCCAGTTCGGCGCGGTTGGTGATGCCGATGACATCGCCAAGCCGTGCCCCCATCACCACCTGTCCAGCATCACACGCACGGGATCGGAGGTGAAAGACTATTCTTGCGTTACCAGGTTAAGTTGGGTGATGGGAGCGATAATCAGTAGAATTATAACTGTGTACCTAAAGTGATCATTTCCAAACTCATTGTGTTGATTTTGGAACATTATGGGTAAAGGAATTTAGAAGCGGACTCCGTTCTGTGTCTCCACATCGATTCAAATCTGTAAAATTATGATAAAACTCATTGCGACAGATAAAATTGTTCAAGCCAGAAAACAAAACATATCTAATGAGACAGAGACATGCAGTGCCTTGTGCAGAACATCTCATTTATAAATTTGCGTAATTGTTGTTGCCTGTAGGTAAGCTAATGGGTTCCCTTTAGTGTCAGGGTTAGCCCTCTGCATACATGGGCTGCTAGAACCTTATGGCAGTGGCAGACAGTGATGACTTACGGTACTGATGAGTCCTCATGAGTGTGAAACCGGTCGACAATTGTGTGGGTTTCACTGCTTCCCTGTTGAGATGGCCACCTTTTATAGATGTTTTGAGTTGGTGGATTAAGTGACAATATTGCCACACATCCATTGATTTTGAGTTAAAACTATATAAATACAAGTATTTAACCAGACAAGGCCCACTGAGCTATGTAGCTATTTTTCAGAAGTGACCTAGCCACAAGTGATAGCTCAATGAAGGTGGCTTATCATGTGGACATTTCTCCCAGTCAAATACTGTAAACGCATGTTTCTAAATGTGGAGGGAAAAACCGGAGGACCCACAGAAAAATTCACACGACCACGGGGAGAACACGCAAACTCCAAATAAACAGGTGTCAGATTTGGGATCGAACCCACGACCTCCTGCATACCAGGTGAGTGAATTAACATCTCGCAAACCGAGTTGGTTGTCTGTATAAGGCTGATAAACATGCGATGCACATATTTTTTGTTAAATTTGTCTGCACATCATCATAATCAGCCATGGTCAATCCACTGCAGATTGAAAGCCTCTCCAAGCTGCCACCACTTCTCACAATCCTGTGATTCAACAATCTATGCATCGCCTGCACATTAACTTATTTCACTGCTCCATTTCCCCAGTGGATGCCAATATGAATAAAAAAATAAAAGCATGTTTTCTTCCATTGGCCTATTGGCTTTCCAGACGAACGTTATCCATATTACCCAGAAACGTTTGTTTAAGCAAGCAAACTCTCGACTACTTTGGATCTCCTGGGTCTCATCAGCAGAATTGTTTCAATGAACACTCTTTTTTGGCAAAAGCACCGAAATAATTGGTCAGCCCAGTTTTTATCTCATTCCTATTCCCGACCAACTCGAACGGCTCACGTCGGCGCGGCTCGCCTCCTCTAAGTTTTGATCGCTCAGTGGGTTTTTTTTTTATTTTGCTGCGCATGCCACGGGAGCCGGAACGCGGAGCGTCACGAGAACGGATTCCGTCGTTAAAAGCGACGCATTGCGCCCTGCTCCATCGATTGGCAATTACGGCGGTCGGAGCCTTCCGAGTGGAACTTTCATTTGGGTTTTTAATTGCCCGCCCCGCAGAGCGGCGCGGCGGGCGTAGTGCGGTGCGCGCTCGCACACACCGCCAGCCCATGCGCGCTAATTGCGTCACGCCAGCGCGCGTGCTGCTGCCGCCCCTCGGCGTGTGTGCGCGTGTCTGTGTACGCGCGCGTACAGACTTGCGTGTATGTGTACACTTGTGTGTGTGTGTGTATGGGGAGCAGTAGTGTGGCGCTTAGCGCGCTGCGCCACGGACCAACCATTCCCGAGTTCGGTTCCCACTCATGGCCAACACCAGTGACGATCATCTGAACCGGTTCTGGGCCTCCTGTCGGTCGACTCAGTCTCAAATGAGTACCTGGTGCGGTGCGTAAACATCGGCACTAGGGAGACAAAGGCGGTCGGGCATGGTGCTGTTTGAGCCCCTAGTGTTCCGTGCTGGCCTTCTTTAGGTGCTCGCGCACAGCACATGCCCAAAAAGTCTGTTAATGCTATGAGGATCTTTGCGTGTAGGCAGGCACATGTACGTGGGGAGCGGTGGTGTTGTGGTTAGCATGCTGACTTAAGAACCTGACCCACCCAAGTTCGATTTCCACTCGTGGCCCAAATCACTGATGAATATCTTAACTGGTTCTGGGTCTCCGCTTCGTTCACACAGCCTTAAATGAGTACCTGGTGCTGTCTGGTTAGCCACATTGATATTATCCTCACTGCTCGCTTATAGCATTTGCCGTAACAGTCTGTTTAAGCTATCGGGGGACCTTTGACATTGTATTTGCTCGCATATATATGTGTGCTTGTGTGTGTGTGCACACGTGTCTGTGTGTCTCTTTGTATGTGTCCGTGTGCTTGTGTGTGAATGCATATTTGTACACGCGTTTATAGTCACTATATTCAGCATGCAATGATTTTCCCACCTTCCGCTTTGTTTTGTATGTGCTGTACATTGACCTTCTTTCGCACCGTATGTAGCCAACAGCTAAATCAGAGGTGCAGCCGAGGGTGGAGGGGTGTGACTTGGGTGGAAGGGTGGCTCGGTAGTAACACTCGTGTCTCACAGCAGAAAGTGTCTGGCTTCACTTCCCCCTGCTCGGGCCCCATTAGACTGTGGAGTTTGTGTGTTCTCCTCCCCCCGCCGCCGCCCTCCCCTGTTTTTCTTGCGCTTCCTTTAGGTTCTCCGGGTTTCCTTCCTTCGCTCAATAAAACCCCCCACAAACAGTCCAACTGATGTTGGGCAAAATCTCAATGCTGAAAAATTAACTGAAAATTACTCAATTGCGATTACACATGAATATCTCCCTCTACTACAAAAACTTGACAGGACCCTCCTGAAATAGAGCCCTGAGACTGGTGGAGCTTTCCTGGGTAAACAAGTGTAATATGATAACAGTTTGGGGGTCACAGTTCGATTCAATAATATAATCATATTTGTACTATCTCAGCTTATCTTTAATATGTAGCACCTTAGTCCAAGGTGCTTTACAATAATTATAAAGTTGTACATGAGATGATAGTGGTTTAAATAAAGAGTGGCGTTGTTATTAAAAGCGGTAGTGGTTTAATTATGGTGACAGTCAGGAGGACAGGTGGGAGTGGTTAAGGAGGCGTTGGGTAGTCATGTCTGTTGCGTGGACCGTCCTTACTCTTTGTCTCGTGCTGTCTCTTTGCATTCATCGCCAACAGTTAGCCTGAAGCAAATATTTGCACAACATTGGCACAAATCGTGAACGATCAACTCTTACACGGGACAGTTCAACCCAAAAATATTCCATTTTAACGAGTGAATTGTTACACGCCTAATAGCCACCTGTACTTAGCTATGGTCGCCCAATGTCTTGGAACGTTGGGCGAGTGGGACGAGGCTGCAGCCGCGTGAGCGAGTGTGCGCGCACGTGTGTGTGTGCAAACGTGCACGGATTGAGGTCAGAGGGCACCATATCTGCCTTGCTCAGATAAATTATTAACACCATCTCAGGTGATATGGCTGCCAGAGTGGTGTGTTGGGCTGTCAAAGCGTACAAATAAAACTCCCGGTGGGTATTGACCCGTTCGCCTTAGATGCTGCGCTTAGCCCTGGATTTATGAGGGGGGTGGGGGGAAGCTATAACGTTTTCCTAAGCATGTGGCCTTCTGATCAGCATTGGGTTTGCAGTGGTTAGCGCGTCGCATGGACGTGAAAGGCGCACGATCACCGTTGCCCAATGTGCACGGCTCCTTTCCGACACTCGAGAGAAAACCAATTACGTGCCAAAGATTTGGGTTGACACAAGTGGTGAGATGGCTCCTAAACAAATAGACAGACAGACAGCCAGATGTCCTTTATTTATGACAGGGTGAGAGCTCATTGTGGAGAGGTGTAATGACCACGTCAATTCATAAAATGATATTCATTCCTAAGCTTACGGTGCACGCATCGAATCTCTGCCGTAAGAATCGCAGTCGGCGTGTTAGGATTTGCACGTAGCAATCGTATATCTGTTTGTAGTTTTCATTTTTACGTAGTAGCGGCGTCGCGCATGCAAATTGCGTCTCAAAACACCATTGAATTTGTAACGTGCACCGTTTGTTTTTTTATGCTCGGAGGTTCGGGGCCAACCGCAGATAAACGGCAGCCACCGCTGGCGCTTCCAATAATTTTCCCAAGCTCTGTGGTCCTGCAATGGGATGTTTTGCCAACTGTGTTGTAAATGATTGGGGCTCGCGGGAACCCCCCTGCTGCCACAAAATGGCTTCCTACATCCTCCGCATTGTTAAGCAAAAGAATCGTGACAGATCATCGAATCGTTTAGTGGCGAATCATTGCGTCTCTTTCTGTTGTGCAAGAGGGATTATGGTGAAATGTCTTCTTCAAGGCCAGTCGGGTATCTTTTATTTAACCCGGAGGTGTAAAATCTATTGGGGCACATTATACATTGCCTCTTTCTTAAGGATGACCTGTGTTACATTGAATCGTCTTAAGTACACTGAATACTGAAAAAAACATTCAAAATTAAACAGAACCAGACTACATTTAACAAATTATTGAACAAAAATATGAGTAATGCAAGGTAAAGATGGCGAATCGCATGTAAAACAAATGTACAAAAAAGTGTGGAAAGAGCAATATTGGAGCGGTTCATTCACTGCGCGATGAACCCAGAAAATCCGAGTTTGATTTTAAGCCACGGTCAACATCAGTGCTGAGTGATATCTGAACCAATCTTTGACCTCCCCATCTTTCACAGTCCACGCTAATCAGCGTGATGACGCATGGTCAAACAACTGCCCTTAACCCTCACGGTGTGAGAAGGACTTCATCAAGTCGTGGATTGGCAAAGGGCTGTGAATTATATTATTTACTTATTTGCTTTTATATATAAAACACTTTTTCATGAACATAAAATAACATGCCTTATTGCAGCTTTTATATTGTTCAGCATTATAAAAATTGATTTTTATTATTTTTACTGTTATTAATATTCATTCACATTCGTAAGGCGCACTTTATCCGGAGATCTCAACCTGTTTTGTGGCACTTTCCATGGGACAACGCTCGAACATTAAAAGCTCACGAGTTCATCGCCTGGATTGTGATCCAGGAAGGATTTAACTCTTCCGGTGTCAACATAACGAGTACCACTTTGGGGGAAGTCAACAGTGGTTGTTTTTTTTTTACCTGGAATTTCCATTATTGGTGCAGAGGCTATAAACAGGAGATGGGCATCGCCCTGCACTCATTTGAGCCAAGAACTACTCAAAAATTTTACTCAACCTTTATAGTCATATCATTATAAGTCATCGATGTTATTACTAAATAATTAAGCGTACAGCCTTGCAACTGATGGGTTTGGCGATGCCTAACTCAAGTTAAGCATTCACAATGGAGACGGTTGAGCGTTCTTGGGTAATAATGCATGGTTGAGCTTGGCACCAGAATGTAAAGGCTTTTAACCCTTTGTGAACAAATCTAAATCTTACATTTCCAAACTATTTAGTGACGTGCCAGCATGTTTAAAAATAATGCCCTCGTTGCGTATCAGCAGTGCTATTATTGTTATACATTTGTGTAGAATTTAGACATTTTATCACTGGGTAAAGGCAGCCTGCTTAATCAGAATCAGAATTTTTATTTAGACTAACGGAATCCGATGAGCTCTGAAGATTTTTTTTTCCTCAGATGTCCAGTAGGGGAGGGTCAGAAAGTTACAACAAATAATACAAAATAATTGAGGTTTTTTTGGGTTGGATCCCGTAAATATATGTTTCGTTAAAACCCGCACCACCCGACACAGCCAACTAGTAAGGGTTGTCACGTAAACAGAACGTGCCAATTCGTCACTAGTACAGCACACCGGTGTGTTGGAGAGCCAAGCCACAACATTTACAATCTGGGTACGACGTTTCGCCAGTAATTACAACTAGCTTCATCAGGCGACAGCCAGATTTGTAGAGAAGTCCACCTGATTTGTTCCTTATATAGAGGTGAAGATGTGGTGACCACACTTCTGTGTGCTTGTGCAAAGTGGGAGGGGGGATTAATGAGTCAACCCACATATTCTTGGTTCTTTCGGTAAAGTCACGTAGAAGGGAAACAATAAAATAAAAAATATATAAAACAATAAAATTCTCAACGACGTTTCGACTGCAACACAAGCAATCATCATCAGGTGTGAAAACCACAGCAAGAAAATTTGATGGTGATTGCTTGTGTTGCAGTCGAAACGTCGTTGAGAATTTTATTGTTTTATATTTTTATTATTTTATTGTTTCCCTTCTATGTGACTTTACCGAAAGAACCAAGAATATGAATACCTGCAGTCACGAAAGCTTTAAATCAAGAGTCAACCTACATTATGCATGCACATTATGCGAGCCCTTTTATCTTGCCCTTCCTGTCCATTGTGTGTATTAAAATAGCCGTACCAACGGTAATCCCTATTGAAGTATGGTGGCCTGTATAGGCATGCATTTAAACAATGTGTAAAGACTGTCAGCAAGTCTCGAGGTGAAGACAGGGTGTCAGCGAGGCTGGATGCAAAGACAAGGTGCCAGCAAGTCTGGAGGATCTTGGTTGGGAAATTCCCCAGAGTGTCCAAAAGAAGACAGCTGGGGAAATTCCCCCAGAGAATCCACGAGGATAAAAGCAGGGGCAAGAAGGGATGTTCGGGGCCTGCGGAGAGGGACTTGGGCCCGTCGTCGCAGTCTTCATGTCGTCGCTGTCTGCTCGGTCACACGATCTCCATGTCGCATTATGTCATGACAACGTGGTCCTAAGCTCTGTTATGTGCAATACAAAAAAAACCCTCTAAAGTTCGAGGCTGGAGTCGTTACAAATTTATTATTTGATGATTCGCTTCCACGCAGCACTAAGTCGGTTGCTATCCGAACGGTTTAAATTGTTTTTATTTCTTTCAATTTCGATAGATTATCTAATTATTCTTGGCCAGTAGTAGTTAGTTTTGCACAACTTCAACATGATCAAAATCAATTGAGTGTCCTTGTTGGCACGCGTGTTCTGCTACTGCTGACAGTTGTACTTTGGAGTATTTAATATTTCTCTGGTGTTTTTTTTAGTCTCGTGCTGATCATTCGTCCTGTTTGTCCAACATACCAACATAGCATTTGCCACAAAAGCCGATAGGAGTGCAAAGTATTGGAATGCAAAACAAGTAACTAAATATAAATAATTAATAAATCAATACAAATGGCATAAGTACATGAATTCCTGCCAATTTTTCAACACCAAAATCAATCTTGGGCAAGGCAGCAAATTAGTCCCAGACCACACCAAGTAGTATTTTGTTTAGAATAAGAGGTGATGATGGCATTGGTGTCTGGGGATATCAACAATGACAATAATGCCAATGACGATGATGGTTATAATGTTGATGCTGATGATTATTATATTGATTATGCTGATGCTGGCAGTGATGAAGACTGTGGTGACTTGGTTATAATCATGATAATGATGGCAATTATTGTTATGGTGATGATGGTGACTGATTACAGGCACATATGACAGTGATGATGTTGATCATGATACCACTCCCACTGACTAAGGTATTGTTGTGCGTGTGCGTGCCATACCGTTCGCTAACAGCGCTTGCCCCAACAGTCTGTTTAAGTCTTGCGTGTGTGTGTGTGCGTGTGTGTGCGTGTGTACCCAGGAAAGTCGCGTGCTGCGCACAGTGCCACTGTTGGCCGCCTGCCTCTCCGCGCACTCCTGCACCGTGCTCGTTGGCCGCCGCTTCCCCGAGGACCGGTGAGGAGGCTCACAATGGCCGTGTCTGAGTTAGTGGGTTAGCAGCGCCGAGGACCTGGTTGGAGCCTCGTTCCAGATGTCTTTTCTTGAGTGGGATGAAAATGGCCGAGTTGGAGCCACTCCTTTGTATGAACCCTAGATTTGCTTGTCTGTCTCATCATCATCAGCCATGGTCTCTCCACTGCTGGATGAAGGCCTCCCAAAGCCATCACGTCTCGTACGGTAATGCGAAGCAACAATGCGTCTCGCTCCTACGCACGAGCTTATCTCATGGCGCCATCTGCTCGGTGCACATCCTCTTGGCTGTGTTCCCTGCTTTGGTTGCCACTCCATCGTGAATCTGGACTGCTGACCATCGATTGTCGTTTTCACAGAGTTCAAAGTGGTCAAGATGGTTCAAGTCCATGTTCCAGTCTCCCTCCATTATTAATTGTGGTACCATTCATAGAAACATGCATTTAGATTATTAACATTATTTTGCTGTGATAAATGTCCAAATGATAAGCCACTTTGTTGAGCTATAGTTTGGCCAGTTTGCTTCTAAAAAATAAGTTCATACCTCAGTGGGCTTTGCCTGGCAGGATGGGGATGGTTTCAGTTTTATTTGTAAGTGTTTGGGTGATTTGTTTATCTTTCTTGTACTTTGCACTACTATCGTGTTTTTGCATTGTTTTTACCCACCCCTACTGAACATCTGTGAAAAAGAGCTTTATAGATCATCGGATTCCTCCAGTATAAATATTCTGATTTGATTTCCTGGTGCAACAGCTGAAACAATGATGCGAGTTTCTTACATTTACCTGGCCTCTGTCTACCCAGCAGTTTCTAAGTGGGTGTATGCCACAGATAGCCGATGGTCACGTCACGTGTGGTGGGTTAAAGCATGGGGACTGCCAACCTCTTCCAACACGTCTATCCAGCGTGGAAGAGTCGACCAAAATACCCTCAAGGAGCTGTCTGCAAAGCTCCCTCTAGTGGAGGCTGTTTTGCCAAGCATTGGATTGAGCAAGGAATTTGCAAGGGCTACATTTTAATCTTTACCAGCACTGGGATTCAAATTCTTATATATAAATTGGATGACTGGCATACGGAGAATCGATTTGCATCACATGAAGGTGTGCTGTGTAGAGATAGCTGCAAGAGCTCTATTGAATTAACTCCAGAAGTATTTCTGGGTCCGTTCCCTGATGGGATGGTTCAAGGCTTTATTATTGCCCGAAGGAGTTATAGAAGAAAAATGTCTTAGCCTTACGACATGGAACTCCCCAATAAGATGGTCAAAATGTAATTGGTGATTTAAAATAAAAATAAAAACTTCATGGCCAGATTTTTAAATGAATCTGTAAATCTTTATATAGCATGTATAAATATATAGCCCGGTGACAGACCACTGATGCACAGCACATTTTTTTCCCCTCCGCAACAAACTCTCGGCCATAAACCATCGTGGGAAAGATTATGAATGGCGAAACTTCCACACCCCCCCCCGCCCCCTCCAACACGTAATAAATACTCATAAAACGGACAATAACATTAAGCAGTGTGCCACCAGGAAAAAAATATAGACAATAGTGAAAGCCTCAAATAGAAAAAAAGCAATAAAGGGGTAAACAGAAAGCCAGACAGAGGTGCAGACAAATACAAAATATTGCAGTGAGGGGTGTGACACGCTCATTCGGCGTGGCCCGTGTCACTAGTGCCGATGGCTTAATTTAAACTAAAACGAAACTTTTATTTTTCTAGGTAAGGCTCACTGAGCTACTATATAGCTCTTTTTTCAAAATCGACCTGGCTATCACAAATGATAAGCTCAACGAAGTGGCTTATCACGTAGAAATGTATCGCAGCAAAATACTCTTAAACGCATGATGTTGATTCTAAATGTGGAGGGAAAAACCGGAGGACCCGGAGGAAAATCCACACGACCACTAGGAGAATATACAAACTCCAAATATTCAGCAGGATCAAACCCACAACCTCCTGTATACCTTTTCGATTTAAAGCTTTCGTGACTGCAAGGATTCATCTTCTTTGGTTCTTTTGGTAAAGTCACGTAGAATGAGAATAAAATAATAAATTGATAAAATAATAAAATATTTTCTTTTAAAATATTTTCTTTTATTTTATCAATTTATTATTTTATTCTCATTCTACGTGACTTTACCGAAAGAACCAAAGAAGGTGAATCCTGTATACCTGGCAAGGTAGTTAACATCCTACCAACATGGCACCCTTTTTTTGATGTTTGGAGAGGATGATTGGGGTCGTCGGGTGGGGGGGGGGGTTTACATTTTTTTACCTTGTGCCTCCCAAGCCACTCACTTTTTAGGTGGTGATGGGATGTGCGATATTTCCACCCCCACGCTTGACAGAGTGACCATTATGTTTAATTGGCAGTGGTGTTTTGCGTAAGCTCGGCTGCGTACTCTGTGTACTCGCTAGGGGGGCCTGTCTACCAGTTGCGACGGCCTGGTCACAATTATCCACGTGTGAGAGACAAAAGCAGATGGGCATGCATGGTCCCAGCCACATTTACACCATCGTTTGTCTTGCCGCCTCTATTAGGTACTCGCTAGACATCAGTATTTTATTCGGATTAATTCAACTGAAGGCTTTTAATTAGAAAATGTAAGTGCTTGTTGTCTCCCAGTTGTATTTCAATTGTGCCGCCGGCATGTTGTCATGAGAACATTATTCCGGGTGATATCTCAGCGAGCAATGGACGAAGAACATTCCAGGAAAATGACGTTACGTCACTGCTGCTAAAGTTGCTTAAGTACATATCTTCCTACTCGAGGCACCGCACATCAGTCAAACTGGTCATTTTTGATTATAAGTGCTGGAATAATGAAATTACTCTGAAAATGTATCTTATATAATGTGTTTTGTTGTGCAGTCATTGCTTACTTGGCTGGGACCATCAGCTCGTTATGCTTGAGAGTCCGGTTTAGACACTGATGGCTGAATCCTAGATTCAAACCCCAGATACTGAACTATGTGGCTCAGTGCTGTGTCACACTATCACTTATTCCCTTGAGATTTCTGGGAATTCGCTTGTGTATAAGGTAATATAATGCATAGAAGGCAAAAGGTGTAAATTGGGTATTTTCTCACAGGTAAAATCTTGATGAAGGAAGTGCTGGAAGGAAGGATGTTGGAACAGAGGCCAAGAGGCAGAAGAAGAAATGTGCTGCTTGACGATTTGAAGGCAGGGGCGGGGGGTGACTGTACAGTGAATTGAAGAAGGAATCTCAATGTCGGGCAAGACGGAGGGAGTTTGAGCCATAGAGCTGCCATGGAGCAGAGGTCTAAAGAAGACTAAAGAAGAGAGCCCAAATATAATGTAAACGCAGACCCTCTTTGTCTCTCTCTGCCTCCCAAGATTCCCTGAGCTGGCACAGGTGTGTCGTAGCCCCAACACGCTGGTGCTGTACCCCGGGCCCGGTGCTGTCGACCTCTACGACCTTGTCGGCGCCTCCTCCACCACCTGCGCTAGCGCTGCCCGTGAGAGTAGCGGCATCCTCCTCGGCACAGGAGATGACTCTCCCGCCGCCGCCAAGCCTGGGCGGGCAGACGCCCTCGCTCCCTGTGGTGCCGTCGATCCGACCACCTTGGCAGATGCCCCCCGCGTCCCGACCCCCGCCTCGGTGAACGGTGCTGTTCCCCTCTTCACGCTGGTGCTCATCGACGGCACCTGGCGACAGGCCAAGGACATGTTTGAGCGCAACCGCCTCCTGCACATTCCGCGGCGGGTAAACCCAGCTGAAGTGGCACCGCCAACCGCTGCTCCTGTACGCTAGCTCCGTCTCCTAGGCTCCGTACTCGTCCGTGTGTCGCTTCTCTTGGGGGTTCTTCGGTTTGCAGGGCGATATATATTTTTAATTTTCTTGCTGCTCATCTTTGCTGGAAAAGTGCACCCCAGTGGTTATTTTAAGTCGCATGCAATTTTTCGTCAATATAAAAAATATATATGGCGGTGACCAAGTCACCCTGAATGTGCCCGATTTCATCAGATGTCAAAAGCTAAGGTGGGTTAAGCCTAGATGGTGGTTGTACTGATGACCATCGTGCGTAAACATAGTTTGTCATAGTCATAGGCTGCTATGAAAAATGCACTGACCAGCATGGTGAAGTATGGTAAAATAACCCACGTGACCTGCAAGGTGTGGGGAGGTCCTCATTCCACAGTGGCTTCACAACATGACTGTCCATGTAGAATAACAATATATAGTTCTGGGCAGTATTCAATTCCATTGGTAGTCCAAGGCCATTGTTTGACAATTCACATTCATAAGGTAAGGACATGTCTCTCAATGGGGCTATGCATTTGTGCAAAGAATTTGATAGACCCTGGAGTGATGCAATTATTGGTTCTGCCTTCTGCCACAGCACTATTTGGCTATATGTGAAAACACATTGTATCAGTAAGTGGGCATTAAAGACTGTACAGCTTTTTTCATTAGAGGCAGGATATTCTGTACCGCAGCTTGGCCTAAATTCCTTGCTTGAAAGCTGTGGCTAGATTGTAAAGCGCAGCAATAATGGAAATTCTCTTCGTCATTTTCTCGTTAGTAAAGCAGTGATGCTCGTCCTTTCTTTGAATGCTTGTCTGTGTGTTAAGCCATTCCTCTGATTATAATATTCCTCAGTGTAATCATCAGACATTGTCTAGCCACTGCTTGATGTGAAGGTCTTCCTATGCTATTTGCCATCCATCACAGCACCTATGCCGCAGTCTTTCTCACTGCTGCACATGAAGTGAACTCATCATTCCATCCCCACGGTTGTCATCCTCTCCGGCACATTCTATACTTTGGCCACCGTTGAAGCCAACCTACTTTTCTGACCATTCAATACGAGGTCTCTGATTTGCGTCGTTTGTTCCCGAATGAATGTGCTTCTCCCCCCGTGTGTGGGTGTCGTTTTGATCATGGATCTCTTTTTTCTACTTTTATTTGGTACACTTTACGGCTTTTGTTCCCTTCACAAAGTTGACATCCAAAACCTCCTCCTCCTCATCTTGGGGGGTGTAGACATGTGTCAATTATTAACCCTTTCGCATTCCGAGACGTCTGCAAGTTGCAGGGTGGGTCCCGCTTACCGCTGAGTCCCGTAACACGCAAGCGGTTAGCGTTAATTCTATTTAGAGAGGCATCGTGCTGTTGTTTTTAAAGACATTGTATTCACTGCAGATAATTGTAGCGACACGACCGCCGCACTCTGCGAGAGCCAGCGCCAACCTGTACCACGTACCTTTCCGCATGGTTTTGTGGGAGCCTCGGTACCAAGATAGTTATTTAATTTTCTTGTTTATTCTGAATCGGAATCGAAATAAATTACTGCCGACGTACACGTACGTTGTCGGCACATTGAAAAGGGTTAAAGTCTTCTGTCCATTTTATATGGGGACGGTGGCTTACACTGTGTAGATTTATTTTCTCTTTCTAACACCAACCTAGCTGCCAGATGTCCAGGAGACAGTAGTACAGAAAGCGGGTTCGTTAACTTGTCTGCAAGGGGGCTGTTCAGTGTTGTCTCTTGGTGTGCGTGGATTTCATTTCCGAATTATTCCCATTTCCTTCCTCGTGCAAAAAAGTCATTTAAAATGGAATTGGCCACTCATTTCAATGCCGGACCCTGCTGACAGAATATTGAAATTCAGTGATGCTTTCCTGTGTAAATAATTGACATCGGCATTGTTTATTAAAATGTGCAGCCCTTGCCAATCCATTGTTGGACGAAGGCCTCCCCCGCGCTGTATCAGACGTGGGGGTTGTTTGACCATACTTAATCATTCTGGTAATCGTTGCAGGTTGATGAAGGTAGCAAAGGGAGGGGGGGTCAACAAGACCAGTGAAAATACTAGTCATCGCTGGAATCAAACGCAGGTCACTCAGGTTATAGCACTATGTGCCAATGCTCCACCAAGCAATTATTTTTATGACTGCATGTGCAAATGTATGCTGCCAAATTTGTCCATCACCTGGCTTGCTAAGACACTTTATTCAGGCTACTGTAGCTCACTTTATAACCCTACTTTTCATCGTTAAACTACAACAATCCCAGTGACGATTCTCTGAACCGGTTCTGGGTCTCTCCTAGGACGAATCGGCCTCAAATGAGTACCTGGTGCGATGTGTAAATATCGCCACTCGGGAGACAAAGGCGGCCGGGTGTGTTGCTGGCCACCCACCCCACGTGTGCCGTACCGCCCTTCATAGGTGCTCGCTAACAGAGCTTGGCCCGACAGTCTATTAAGGCTATATGGGGGATCTTTGTCTTTAGAGGGGTGAGGTTTGTGTCCATGTATGAGAGACGAGAGAGAGAGCGTGAGAGGGCTGTGTGACGGAGTGGAGAGAGAGGTGGTGATATCATAGGCTATACGGGGTATCTTGCACTGTGGTTCTTCGTGTGTGGTAAGTGTTACATTTGATGTTTTATGACTTTATTTTTTAACTATATATTAATTTGTACTTCTCATGTTAAAAAGGTTGCTCAAGAGTGGAACATTTTGGGGCTGAAACGGAACTCGGCTTTTCATATGGGAGGAGTCTATGGGAGAATGACGATGTTTTAATGAGCGATCGCTTAGCGAACAATTCTCAAAGACCAAATATAGCAATTAGACCATTACAATTGATCATGGTCCCACCTTGGTGAACATTGCTAAACGGGAATCCCTCATTTAACATGGTGCCATGTACTCTGTTATTCCGTGTATTGTATCATACCACGCAGCCTCGCAGCTCAACAAAGTAGTTTGTCGTCTACCGCTGAGAAACGGCGTTATAACAACGGGCTTAATCTGCGTTGGGCGAAAAATGTTCCACCATATTATAACACGTCGTACGAACAAGCTTTAAGCGAGGACTTACAGTACTCTGTGATGAGAATTGTTCTTCAACTTTGCAGGTGAGCTGAAACAATAGTAATTGGCACGGTGTTAAACGTACACACAGGCGACAATTTAATGATGGCTGTGTCCGGTGGTGGAGGGTTCTTAGCGACACAAATTTGATCAATCTCGAGCTAAACCCAAAAATCAATTACAAATAGCGACGACCAAGACGGTGGCAGCGGCGGCGGCGGCAACGATGAAAGAGGTGGTGAAAAAAAAACCTCCCACAATTTATTTGGGCATAAATCGGCAGTTGTTTGCGTGTTATAGCACAGCCCAATCGATGCTTGGGCAACATGCAGCAGCGAGCGGGTCAATTCAATCATGGCATTTCGTTGGTCATTTATTTCCATGTATTACGATCGGCTGTTTGTTACCTTGTGCAAACATGCGCATGTATTCTTTTTCTTCTCAAAATTACATTTCCCCCTCTCCCAATGGGAATTAGCTCATCGTCTGGGTGCAATGTACGAGGTCTGAATGAAATAAATCGCAGGCGCGACAATTCGAGAACGGTGAGGCACCCAACGTTCACCGTACGTCCGAGCGCACCTGTGTCTGCACACCTATTAAAGAGCCCGTTCAAACGAAGAGCCCTTCGCACGCAGAGAAAATTAATCAGAGCTTTTGTTGTATTTAGCAAAATGTGGTTTTGGTGAAATGCATAAAGGTCTTGTGATTTTTGCAGGGAAAGCATTGCATTGCTTTTCTAGAAAATCTCCACTTAATAATAAGAATACGAGTGTACAGTCCTTTGGCACTACCCTGATGGGATGAAGGCCTCTCCAAGCCTTCTCAGGTTTATTTGCAGGTTGTTTGACCTCGGACTGCACTATGCTGGTAGTTGTGGTTTGATGAAGACGTGAGGCATAACAACCAGTTCAGATATCACGAGTCTGGGAATTGAATTCAGGTCACCGGGTCCAGAGCACAGTTCGCTAACCACTAAGCCACCACTCCCCTCGGCTCGGTATCAAGACACATTTCTAGGAGGGTTCTACTTGTAATATTTGTTCATTTCCCTTTCGGGTGTTTTCGCTTGTGGTACAAAACCAGCGTTCCCAGTGAACATACCGCAAATGCGGGGTTTTTTTTTCCTTCCGCGCACCTCCGATTTTCCTTCCCCCGCACCGCCGATAAGCACGGCTGGCTACATACGGTGCGACACAAGTTCAACATGCACACATACACGCGAGCATAATAGCGCTCAACAGTCCGCAGTGGTGGCCATCGAGCTCCTTGCTATGCTGCCTCCTGCATCCCACTTAATCTCCCTACAGGTTTAATTGTCTCGCTCGCAGACAGGATCTCTGCGTGATCCACCAGCCCTGCCTCCAAAGCGGACGCGCAAGGAAGCGCGTGGTGCGGCCACATTCACCCCATCGCCCGTTTTTTACGAACGCGGGGCACGTGGCACAGATTAATTATCACGATGACGGCGGCCTTGCCGACACCGTCGTGCCATGCCAGCTCATAAATTAATTGTGCGCAGACGTTGGGGCTCGGTGCATTCGCTTCGGCGGCGAAGACGTTAAAGGTCAGGGTGGGACAGAAGTTCACGTGACAAAGTTGGGAGCGAGAGGACAGGAGAGGGAGAGAGAAAGGGAGAGCACAAAACAAAACAAGACGCGCTTGATGTTTGTAAAAAATGTAACATTTATATTAGTAATTTATGACTCTTTTCAGAGGGCATTCCCTCCCATAGCTGTTGCTGCTGAGCTGTCTTCATTTTTATTGTCAAACCCTCGCACGCACTGCGCTCGTGTGTGTACGTTCACGTCTATTAAATGTCACATGGCTTTGGCCGTGTGTCTCTTGCGCGACCGTGCTTGCATCTGCGCTCGCACGCGCCTG